TACCTGCAAAGTATGTCAATAAATTTGTGTGATGTTGACCAGAGAGCTGTTGCTGTATCATCTGGGCATTTATGTTGCTTCTTACATTAGGTGTTAAGCATAGTAATTATGGATGAACGTTGTGCCAATATCTTCAATGCAGATTGCACAGTGTATGTAGCATGTCTACAACCCTCACTGATCCTGCTATAGCTATAGGCATTTGGCACCAGCAAGACCAAGGGCATGAACTTCACAGTTGCGCAACCCTTTGTCATGTACCACCAGTCACTTTTTTTCCTTAACCCTCGCCCTGGCAGGGCATTTTTCATAACACGGCCTAGGGGAGGGGGGTTGATGCGACCCCCCTCGCGATTGGCTCCTATGGCACCTAGAAGCACCAAATTTGGTAGGTACGTGGGCCCCCTGGAGTTCTCGCCCCTGTGCAAATTTGGTTGCTCTAGGTCAATATTTAGGGGGGTTTTGGGGGGTATAAATGTAAAAATTTCGCTAAAAACAGGTCAAAAGTTTTTCGCTTATAACTTTTGATCTAATTAAGATAGAGCAAAAAGAAAAGCATCAGTGAACTCAGCACGTCAAGGCGCGTCGAATGATATACTTTTCAGCTCGCTTAAGTGTACTTTAAGTTTTTCTTAAATTTTAAGTAAACTTTAATTAATTAATCAAGTTCAGATTAACCAAATTGCATCATATTGCATATCATTCGATTCGGCTGATCACAAGGAACACAATGACACCATTTTTAAGCTCTAGCGTCATCATGTGCCAAGTTATTGGCAAAAACGTCATTTGACCTCAGTTGACCTCATTTGACCTAACTTATGTTTTGCCCCATAGGCAAGGGTGGAGCTTCACCAGGGAAGGTGGTGGGGCAAAAAGCCGTCAAACCTGCAATGCTCGGTTGTTAAGTTAGATTATGTGCAACACTGAATCAATTCTTTTAATTACCGAACTAACATTTTGAATTACACAGACATTTCAAAGCTCCTCAATTCGAACAAAATAGTGGTTTGCTAAGCAACGAAGTTCTACAAATAAGCAAAAGTTGGAGGGCCAGAACGCTATTTTTTCTCTGACAGTTTCGTAACATGTTACGAAGGCACCAAAACTACTTCAGTACAGGGTGTAACGAAATTATCGGGACATCTATTTTTTCGCCATATCTGTATGCACAGCTTCCTAATCCTTTCTGATGTTAGAAGTGGGAATATTGGATGAATACGTGCCTCTGTTATCGGTTTTCAACTCAGCAGTGACCTGACCTTGTCATGTGACTGTTGCTCTGAGTAGGAGTCTGTTCACAGACGGGTTCACATGGTAGTTTTCGTCCTTAGTCACCAAGTTATTCTTACCAAGTCAGATAATAAGAGATCCCATATCATGGTTTACCGCTACCCGCCCTTTAACTTGGTTCTAGTGCCCTTCAAACTGAAAAAGACAACGAAACTGACGGGAAAACAACTAGTTCACCACCTTTCGCCTCACGCCAGATCGCGTCCACTGGTTGAAGCAAGATAAGGGTGAGGTGGTCTGGTTGGGTGGGTAGCCGTTCGAGCTGTATTATCCTTTGGACCGTCAAATCGGCCATGTATGGGCTTGTATCGCCATGTATCGGCCGCTCGAACTTGCTGGCCTTCGCCGCCGTCAAACTCCGGACAATATCAGAACTGGAGCATGTTCAGCTGTCTAGCGATGCTCCAATAGGACATAGTGTCACATAATACCGCCATCAACGTCAATTATTACCGGAGCAACATACTGGCCAATGAATGGTTGGAGGCGCTCAACCAGACGGTATAGGAGGGCTCGGTTTCTGAACGCGCACTGATGCCTGATTCAAGCCACGCTGTCTTCATGCGGGGCGGCGCGCTACTTAAAAGTCCCTAAAAGAACGGGAAGTGATGCCGATGGAACCTTCAATCATTCTGGGCTAACGCTTATGGCTTGGAAAAAGTCGCGATCCCAATTCAATCGAAAACCTGTGGGCTCTTGTTCAGCAGGTGACTGAAGAGACGCCCGCCACAAGCACCGCCCAACCGCAGGCACAGGTTTAGACGGCGTTGGTCCGCATTAAAGCCAGTGTGCTGGAGAATCCAGTGGCTGAAATGCTCCAGAACATTCGCCACTGTGTTTTTATGAAAGGTGGCTACATGCTCAGTTAAAAGAAAAAGTACCAGAATGTTTTGCTTTTTAATTACAGCGGGAATAAAGGTGTGCGGATAATTTCGTTACACCCCCTGTAATGTTCAAATTGTTGCTAAATTCGAAATCAGCTCCAAAAACTAGTCTAGAAACATGTAAAACTCGAAAAATAAAACCGAGGTCATCAGAGGTCATTGAGCTGACCTGACCTTCAGGTGACCTTGACACCCACCCTAATGCATAGGACCAGCATCATATCACATGTTTCAACGCTTGAGACCACGTAAAGACTGCAAACGCGTGGTAAATGCGAGCCGACATACGCCGAATCGCGATTCGGGCCAAACATGGTCTCGAGAAATAGGTCACAGGTCAAAGGTCATTTTGGTCAGGGTCATGCAATTTTCAGGGTAGGTAGGTGTAAAATTGATAAATTCGGGAGTATTGAAAGTTTCGTCGCGATCGGACGATTTTTACGCGAGTTACTCACGAAAAACCGATGGGGTCCGTTCAATGCCTCCCCCTATACGGGCGAGGGAAAAGCGCAACCAAAAAGGCAAAAATAAGCACATGCGATAACCTATACTGCGAAAAAAGTGCATCATTTTTGAACGTCGCCGACAAATTGTAATTACCCCAAGCTCAGGCAGATGTATGGTAGAGAATACCCCAAGTGAAATACACTACGGCGGAAATAAAATACCCTACGGCGGAGCTCGGTTGCAATTTGTAAATACGCGGGGGGGAGAGGGGCAAGCTGCCACGCTTGCCCCACCGTGGCCAGAAGCGGCGGAACACCTTCAACTAAGGGGGGGGGGGCACTGCCGACTTTTGGTCCCATTCTTTCCATGCAACGCCTATAGGGCTAATGTTAAAGTTCCCAAATTAAAGGGGGCACGTTGCCCCGTTCCGCCGCCTATGACCGTGGCGAAGCTAATGTACCGTAAAGTGGGGCTATTTGAAACGGATTTTACTGTTTTTGGCCTCTCCCTTCAAAACGGTTGATATTTCCTATTGCATGTAAATTGCAAAAACATAGTTCTCTGTAACCGCTTTCAGATAGGTCAATTTTGGTTCAGCTAGTAGCCATAAATAAAATTATTTTTCTAATTGAAGCATGTTTCAAATAGCCCCATAGTGTGGGGCTATTTGAGACAGTTTTGGTTGCAAGGAAATTGAAGAAAATTGGTCAAGCTAGGGATAATTCTTTTAACGCCATGCGATTGGAAATTAAATTTTGATAATTCTGGCAAAAAAAAATCTTTTAACTGCAGCTATATACCCCTTAAAATCAAATTTTTCGTTTTTTGCTGGACATAGCATTTCGGTCTGCTAAAAATTGCATTACTTTATGCTAGGGTTGTCATAATGTGATGTGATCCTAAGCTCTAAAAATCACAGGATGATTATCTAGGACTATTTCTAAGTAAACGATAGTGAAATTGTCAAATAAAGTTGTTGTGTTTATATCTGGTGGTGTAAAACATATATGCCGAAAGTTGGTGGGGCTATTTGAGACAGGCTCGCTACTGCGTTAAACGCACCGTAATGCATTAAAAAGGGGAAAGCAGTTTCCAAAATGGTTGAATGAGCGATATGCATGATCGATTGTTCCATTGCATATCAACCTGTGAAGAAATAACAGAAAAAGGTCAAACGGTTTTGATTTTATATCGATTTTTCTAGATCACTCACACTGCATGTTGTATCGAATGGCCGGTTACCGCACTGCATCAATATACTGAAGGCTCACCTAGCAGTAAGTATGTATGATAGATAACTTTCAATGGTGCTTATGGTCAACCAGAGTAAACATGGGTCGATCCCGACCCCGTCAGTGACTGATGAAACACATTCTATGCACATTGCACACATTCATAAAGGCAACTAATATCGTCACAAACTGGATGGTCGTATTAAGTTACAATGTGTAAATATTGCTTGCTGCTAAAAGTACCATGAACCCATGGCCGATTTATCGGTGTTCCTTTCGAACGTTTGATACACCTTAGGCAGATGACGGTAAGTCTTTAAGATGCATCATATCACCTGTTTTAGGGCCTTGACATCACAATCATCAGCTGTAATTGGTATACGTTGAGGTTTGACGAGGTGGATAGGCATCGGGATTCTGAGACATCGGATTACACTGTTGTCACTACCGCTAACAATATATAATCTTTTCATGTAAAATGTGCTTAGCCCATAAGTAAAACGATAGTTACGATAGATTCGGTTGCAAATTTTTTAAAACTTCAACCATGTTAAGCTGCAGGTAGGGGTGCTTTTCGTATAACTTAAATTGTGGTTTTTCTGTATTTATCATGTAATGCCAAATTTCTTTTTTAAAAATTTCAAAATTTTCAAAAACCCTATCCATGGAATTCGTTGTTAAATTCCACATCAGATAGAGCAAAAATTGATCAAAAATATCAAACGGTTTTAATTTTACAGCAATTTTACTAAGCCACTGCCGTACTGTCTCAAATAGCCCCACTGTCTCAAATAGCCCCACTTTACGGTATGTGTCTCTGGTCTGGAAGGCAGTTGGTGATGTGATATGTGTGTCTCTGGTCTGGAAGGCAGTTGGTGATGTGATATATGTGTCTCTGATCTGAGATGCGCCGTACACCGCGCTTTTTGCCAGCAAGACTTCTGTACTCGGACTCAGGTGGGACGCCGCGGCTCTGTGTGTGGTGATATGACGCCGCGGCTCTGTGGTGCGGTGATATGACGCCGCGGCTCAGTGTGCGGTGATATGACGCCGCGTCTCTGTGTGTGGTGATATGACGCCGCGGCTCAGTGTGCGGTGATATGACGCCGCGGCTCTGTGTGTGGTGATATCGTTGCCCTCCCAGCCCACAGTTCTGGACATGGACATGTCGTACGAACAGCAGAAGAGGTGGGAAGAACAGGAGCTCGACAAGCAGGTCGACTTCGCCAACTGCAAAATCGGTATGTCAGGTCCGGACCTGTGGGGGAGGATAGAAAGATTTTCGCCGGCAGTATAATTTGGCCGCCCACACCTTTACCATCCTTTACTATATCTGACAAAAGTGAATGAAATAATTCTATTCTCTATTCATGTGTCATTGGTGGAACTCCGTTAATTTTTTTCTTCAAAAATCTCCCCTTCGTAATTTTCGTCAAAATCATTGAAACATGAATTTGATTAGAAAATGGTAACTTTTACTTCCGTTCGAAAAATTATATAGCATGTAGAATTCGGGCTGTAGAGGTCAATGAAATTGGAGTTCCTTCAACAAATGTGACAGGGCTTTCGAACGCCGTTTGAATTTTGCGGATCCGTCCAGCAGTTTCGGAGATACGAGGGGGGGGGGCAAAAATCCCTCCCCCACCAGGTCGCGTTATAAACAGACCCCACCAGGGCGCGGGGTAGGTCAAGGCTCAGGTCACTTTAAAATTCGCCGTGCCCTATAAAATCTTCATTTTTGGAGATATTTGAAAATGTCGGCCACCACTGTGTTCGTCTCATAGAGAAGCAGTAGCACAAAAAATCAGAGATCAACGTCATAGGTCAAAGTCAAGGTCATTTTAAACGAAAATATTCGGGTTCAATCGCGTAATGATTTCGCTCAAAATTGATATACAGATAGCCCATGGCATGCTGAGTTTGAAAATGGTGACCTTTTTTCCCTAGGTCAAATCGTTTGACCTTGATAAGTCAAAATACTGCGTACCCTATAAAATCTTTGCTTATGGTCGGATTTGAAAAATTCGCCCACCACTGTGTTCGTCTCATCGAGAGAAAGTATTACATGCAACAAAATCCGAGGTCAATGTCATAGGTCAAGGTCAAGATCACTTTAAATGTCGCAGTACCCGATAAAATCTTTATTTTTAGAGATATTTAAAAATTTCGGCCACCATTGTGTTCATTTCATCTAGGAACAATAGCATAAATAAAGACATCCTAGGTGGCAGGGTCATAGGTCAAGGTCAATGCCAATTTAAACGAAAATATTCGGGGTCAAATTCGAGTAATGATTTCGATAAAAAAATAATTTGAGTGCTACTGTTTCTCGATGAGACGAACAAAGTGTTGGCCGAATTTTTCAAATATCTTCAAGAACGAAGATTTATGATAAGGGACGGCGACTTTTAAAGTGACATTGACCTTGACCTATGACATTTACCTCAGAATTTTTTAATGCTCTACTTTCTCTCGATGAGACAAACTCACTGATGGGCGAGTTCCTTTTTAATCGGACCATAAACAAACGTTTTATAGGGTACGCAGTATTTTGACCTCTCAAGTTCAAACGGTTTGACCTAGGGAAAAAGGGTCACCATTTTCGAACTCGGCATGCCATGGGCTAGGTATCTGTATATCAGTTTTGAACGAAATCATTTCTCGAATTTGCACCCGAATATTTTCGTTAAAGTGACCTTGACTTTGACCTATGACCTTGACCTCGGTTTTTTTTTAAATGTGCTACTGCCATGGACCATAAACAAAGATTTTATAGGGTACGCAGTAGTTTGACCCCTTAAGTTCAAACGGTTTGACCTAGGGAAAAAGGTCACCATTTTTGAACTCAGCATGTCACGGGCTATCTGTATACAAATTTTGAGCGAAATCATTACTCGAATTTGAGCTCGACTATTTTCGTTTAAAGTGATTTAGACCTTGAGCTATGACCTTGACTCTGACTTCAGGGAGAGAAGCGACAACATACCCTGAAATGAACATAACTCGCACCGTGGAAAACGCCCCCCCCCCCCCCAGGCTTTTCGCGCGAATATCTCTAAAACGGCGGCGCAGCGGCGCTGTTTTTTGTACACCTGTTCATAATCTTTTCTGCACATGTTCTGAAAATTTCAGGCTCAGATTGTTCATTCAAGGTCGGGTCGCCAGGTCACGTCAAGTGACCTTACCCAAGAAAAAGTTCAAAGGCTCGCTAAAGCTACACCGAATGAACGATCGCTTTGAAACTTTCGGCGAATGATAGTATGAGTATGTATAGAATTAATATCTATTAATTTTGATATCTGTGACCTAAGGTACGGTCAATTTTGCGAACTCTCCACTATAAGTCGATGGGAGAAAATTGAAATGCGCCTCATTTGAACGAATGTCTTTGTAAACGCTCTCAAACATGGGTTTATAGGTAATTATGACTCACTGAATCGGATAATTGCACCCGTGACCCCTTTGTGTGCCCCTGAGGTCATCTCAGGTCGTGAAAGGCCACCAGCATTTTTTATTACAACTATTGATAGAGACGTGTTATAGCGGCGAAAACACGTCAGATGTGTTCAGCTCGATGATACGGATCGAGTGATATGCAGTATGATCATTTTCGGTCAGGTCATGACCTTGACCTGAATTCAAATTTTCAAAATGACCTTTTAAGGTCAACTAATAGTTCATTGGACGCGTCTCGACGAGAGATACACGATGCTTGCAAAAGTAATATCGTGGCTTTCTTGAGTCAAAAGTTATCATCGAAAATATTTTTGACTCTGTTGAGTTTAACGTTTCATTTTTGTGCTTATGATGGATTCATGGCTTCAACTTTCGATGGCTGAGTTCAAACGAACGGCAGTCAGTCACTTGAACACCAATCAGGTCTTTTAACTACCAGACATGTGCTTGGATCCGAGAGCTGGATCTATGATCTCAGTGGATCTCTCGACAAAATAGAGGGGTTGGATCTATGATCCAAGTGGATCTCTCGACAAAATTCAGGGGTTGGATCTATGATCTGAATGGATCTCTCGACAAAATTTAGGGGTCGGATCTATGATCTCTGAGGATCCAGCGGGCAAAAATTTGTGAAGGACCTATGATCTGTATGGATCTCACGACAACATGTAGCCAATGAAACCCTTATCCTACATAATTGTACACCTTACAGTGCAATACAATTGAGAATTATCACTTGTGGACATGGTTATTAGTTAAGACCACTTGTAATCATTAGGTATCATCATTAATTTTGAATTTAAATAAACAACATTTGTACTACATTTAAAATAAACCAAGAACATGCATATTGCTACTTTTTGTGACCAATTGTAACTTTTTCATGACAGCACTGATGACAATCTTATCAACAAGCTACAGCCACTTTAATTCAATGAACAAACAGTACAGACAGATGCAGTGGCAGCAGGGCACTGCAGATTTTCATTTTGGTCCCATTCTTTCCATGCAACGCCAGTAGGGCTAATGTTAAAATGCCAAAATCTAAGGGGGGCACTGTACCCTGGTGCCACCCCCCCCTGTTCTGCCGCCTATGGACAGATGTTAGGAAATCAAACCTGGAAGCCAATAGGTCAGTTTTGTTAAAAATAATCCAGCAATCCACTTCTGCCAAGTATGAAATCCGAATCCAGAATGTTCGTATGAGCTATTAGTATGTGCAACACAATTTCGATTTAGTAAGAATAGCAATTAACCTCTAATACTTTCCTAATAAAATTACAAGTTCAAAAATGGCATCAACTTCTTCAGATTACCTACTTTTGGCATCGTGCCCAAATCGTGCCACACGTGTGGTGCCATGCTGTGCTTTTGTTATGAGAGAGCCTCCCAAAAAAAGACAAACGAAATTCACAGCTCACGTTTTGGTAATATGGTTTTACTACGTCATTATCGTTTGACCAATGAAAAATCTTAATTTGACCAAAACCGTAATGATTCCAAAAGATTCCCCGTAATAGGCCCTTTAAACTAATGACGTAAGATATTGTTATTCTTTTGAAAAGTGAATAAAATAAAGATGCAAGGCGCACACCGCTCAAGGCCATATAATACCGTTTCAGCTTACGTTTACGTCATTAAATTCAACGCTACAAAGATGATATTCACAAACAATCGTTTCGTATCGTAAAATTATGTGAGGCAGAAAAAATGAACATTGTTTTAAAACAAAACTCCAGAATTTTGAATTTCCAGTTTGATTTTTTATTTATTTTCATTATAAATACTCTGTAGAACGCCTAGCTCATTTGTTATTTGAAATGACGTCACGAGTTCGATTTAGATACTGAATAATCATTTTACGGTAAATATCCAAGGCCATTACAATTGATATTTCGCTTCCCATCGCTTCCGCAGGCTGTTGAATATTTTTATACTTTTGTTTATATCAGTTTATTTTATCAAATATTTCTTTCAATAGATTGAAATACCCTTACCTAACCAAGCCACATGTGTCAGTATCATCTTTTATTGTTTATCAATCAATTATGGTAGCTGGAAACTGGAAAGCCTCATGGTTGTCTAATGCAAGATTGTCTTATCAATATCATTATGTAGATTCTAACATGAATTGTGATGTGGTAGGTACCTAGTTATGCATTGTTCATTAGTCATTACTTTGACTTACCTCTATGTTAATTGGTAATGCAAACTTTTCTGTTGGTATGTGAACTGTGAACAATCTTCATGTCACTCAATTCTCTCAAGTTGTGACCGTCATGAGCCTCCTTTATTTTGTATTCTGTATAATGTAACTGGATGCCTTTACTAATATGGCCTTTGTATAAGATTGTTTGTTTCTAACCATACTTTGGTAATCATAACTTCTTATGAAAGAAAGTTGTTAGCATTTTGAGCACCTATGAGCTATGATCCCAATGGATCTCACGACAAAATTGGGAAGCCAGATCTATGATCCGAGTGGATCTAGCGACAAAATTGAAGGGTCAGATCTATGATCCCAGTAGATCTCTCGACAAAATTGAGGGGTTGGATCTATGATCTGAATGGATCTTGGATCGGGATCCATGGGATCGGATCTCAGATCCATTTTTCCGGATCCAAGCACATGTCTGTTAACTACCCTTTGTGTGTGGGTCTTTTACCCAGTACCATGGGTGAGACGTCACTTTGCAGGCATTTCCAAAAGTGAAGAAAGAATACGGTAGGTATGCTATAAACCTAGGTCTTATCCTCTCGCCGTTGAAACAAAAAGGGCAAACGAATCAGGTGCTGGCAAAAATAACTATGTGCCAGCTGATTAGCGAGTTATGTTCAGTTGCTCTCAGCATGGGCGTCTTGCCACCCTCCACCCTAATGACCTCAGCTTTCTCCGTGCCAGCTGTTTAGTCAGTCTGTGAGTTGACACACTTGACAGTGTCATGTCTGCATCCTATGTTTGTTGACTGAGTGACTGATATTGTCCGGCTGATATTGGCTGGCTGATGGTGACCTGCTGTTATTAACCTGCGCCCTGCTGGGGGTTTGACGCCAACGACGTCAAACTTTCAGTACCTTATCATACATCAATTTAAGACGTTTCCTGAAATTTTGAGCGAAATCCGTCGGAAAGTGTTTGAGAAAATGACGATTTAGTGACGTCATGTCCGCCATTTTCGCCTAAAAAACGGCAAAATTTCAAACGCCGCTAACATCTTCATTTAGGAATCAAGGCGTAACAAAAAAGGTTATACGTGATTCTACTTTGTCAAGTGGCTATTTCGGTTTTTTGAAAATTTTGGATTTTGGCCCAATTTTTTTTTAAAATAAAAAACGTGACCTTTTTGGGAAAACAATTATAAAATAAAAAATTTTGAGTGTATCGAAAAAACCGGAATATATGTCAGAGAAGTGGTCTACGTGCACCTACATACCAATTTTAGATGAATCGGCTCAACATGTGGGAGTTATTCAAAATTTTATGACGTCACGACACACAAAATTTTTGAAAACTATTTTTTTTTGGAAGTTCTAGACCTCGCACGGAAAAACAAATAGCACCATTCGATTCACCGTGAAAAACTGCATCAGATAGACACCTTTTTAGGCCTTAACAACCAACTTCAAAATTTGACCTCACTTGACCTGACCTTGACCTGACCTTGACCTGAAATTCATGCAGATGTGGTACATATCACTTATTGAGTGTGCCTATTGATTTCTATGACTAAAATGACCCATAAAACATGTGTCGCACATGCCCTTTTCTATATTTTGTTTTTGGTGACCTGACCTGACCTTGACCTTGACCTTTACATGACATTGTATGCAACGAATATTGTCTTGGTAGCCTAAGAACACGTTTTGGGCAATCAGTCTCAGTCCATTCTTCGGCATCTACGGTGCAGGGCCGATACTGTAGAAACTTGCATTTTGTACCCTTGACCTGACCTTGACATGACCTCTGACCTACTTAAGCAAAAAAAAAAAATGGGCTCTTAAGATCCGCCTTGTTGAGAGCTTTCGATTGCCGTTTTCCCCGTCTTTCTACGACTACGGCAGAATCTGCCCCCCCCCCCCCCCCCAGCAGGGCGCGTATGGCTGAATGGCCCAGCGGGGCGCGGGTTAATTGACTGATATTGTCTGGCTTATATTGTCTGGCTGATGGTGACATGCTCTTATTAATTGACTGATAAGTGATATTGTCTGGCTGATGTTGACTCACAAATGTTGACTGGCTGGTATTGGCTGGCTGGTATTGGCTGGCTGGTATTGGCTGGCTGACATTGACCGGCTGACATTGACCGGCTGACATTGACCGCCCTGCTGACCAGCCCACCGAGCGCGCGGCTGTGACACGTCTGTCTGTATGTGTGTGTGTGTGTGTGCTGCAGACCCGGCGCCGTTCCAGCTGGTCGAGAGGACCACCCTGCTCAAGGTGCACTCTCTGTTCTCCATGCTGGGCCTGAACCACGCCTATGTGACGGCCATCGGTCGCCTGATCGGTGTGGTGGCACTCAAAGAGGCAAGTGGGGCTTCAGGGGGAGCGGAGAGAGTGACGCGATTTCAGCTCCACTGGGGGGGGGGGCAGCGGCATCACTGTGGCGTCCTCCCCCCTCCCCCCCCCCCGCACCACCACCACCAGTTTACATGTTAGATTAGGCCTTTGGGAACAGAGAGACTAAGAGGGGAACAGGAAACTGGAAAGAAACAGGAGACTGCAAGAGAAGCACAGAGACTGGTTAAGAGTAGGAGACTGGTGAGGAGCAGGGAGACTGGGAAGGAAACACGGAAACGGGGAGGGGAGGGGAAACAGGGACTGGAAGGGAAGCACAGAGACTGGTGAGGGACAGGGAAACTGGGAAGGAGCAGGGAGACTGGAACGGGTGAATGGACCAAGGGAACCGTGTCGCAGCAGCTGACGCTGTGTGTTCTGCTGACGCTGTGTGCACTGGTGGCGCTGTGTGTTCTGCTGCGCCGAGTGTTCTGCTGACGCTGTGTGTTCTGCTGACGCTGTGTGTTCTGCTGACGCTGTGTGTTGTGCTGACGCTGTGTGTTCTGCTGACGCTGAGTGTTCTGCTGCGCCGAGTGTTCTGCTGACGCTGTGTGTTCTGCTGACGCTGTGTGTTGTGCTGACGCTGTGGTTTCTGCTGACGCTGTGGTTTCTGCTGACGCTGAGTGTTCTGCTGCGCCGACAGCTGCGGGAGGCCATCCAGAAGGCCAATCACTACACACCGCCCGAGCCGAGCGAGCCGTCCAAGGCGGCACGCTCTGCGGTCCCGGGCGGGCCGGGCGGAGCGGGCGGCGCTGCCGACTCGCGGGTCTAGCCGGGGCCGCACGGCCGGCGCCCATCAGCGCTCTGTATCTAGCCGGGGCCGCGCGGCCGGGGCCCATCAGCGCTCTGTATCTAGCCGGGGCCGCGCGGCCGGGGCCCATCAGCGCTCTGTACAACTGTGCGCCGTAATGGGTGGTGTGTAAGTGAGAAAGTTTACTATAGGTACTTGGACATGTGGTGTGTGAACAGACTACAGAGGGCTGTGGCAGTGAGGAGGCGGGCCGGGCTGGAGGACACAGGTGACGGTGTGCACGGCGGCACGGCTGTCACACGACCCGCCCAAGGACGAGCGCGGATTGGACAGACGCGCCCGGCGCCGGCCGTGCCAGCTCCCTCCCGGCTGCAGTTCAGACTTCAGAGGTGGGGGGGGGGGGGGGTGATGGCGCTCACCCTTCAACCTCCCCCGTCCGGCTGTGCTGGTGGAGGGCGGCAGCTCCAATCGCCTCTCGCCTTGGTCGGTGACGCCGATTATTCCCAGTGCTGCGGGGTGCCAGGCCGCAGGGGCCTGTCCCGTGACCCAGTGCCGCCAGTCCGTGACCCAGACTCAGTACCTCCAGTCCGTGACCGTGACCCAGTGCCTCCAGTCCGTGACCCAGTGCCGCCAGTCCGTGACCCAGTGCCGCCAGTCCGTGACTCAGTACCTCTAGTCCGTGACCCAGACCCAGTGCCTCCAGTCCGTGACCCAGTGCCGCCAGTCCGTGACCCAGTGCCTCCAGTCCGTGACCCAGTGCCGCCAATTCGTGACCCAGTGCCGCCAGTCCGTGACCGTGACCCAGTGCCTCCAGTCCGTGACCCAGTGCCTCCAGTCCGTGACCCAGTGCCGCCAGTCCGTGACCCAGTGCCGCCAGTCCGTGACCGTGACTCAGTGCCGCCAGTCCGTGACCCAGTGCCGCCAGTCCGCACCGGCCGTTCACGTTGTGGGTGCCACTGATTGAGACAGTGTCACTGCCGCGCAGTGTGGCGGCGGCTGACGGACAGACCGGTGGCCCGGGGGGAGGGGGAGGGGGCCGGGGGAGGCGCCGCGGCCGCCGGTAGGCAGCGCGTGGACTCTGAACGGCCACGACACCGGCCCGTTGACCGTTTATTTAGAGCCACCACCGGCGGCAGTGTCATCACATCGATTCTTCTCTCAGCGAGAGCAAACTGTGTGATCAGTTCATATCAAATGGCTATATTATGATGACTTTTATAAAGGTATAATGTCGCTATAATATTTGATATGATTATCGATTTTTCGGCAATAAGAGTGACGAGTCGGATCATTACAAAATGTGCCGTTCTACTGTATTGAATGTGATGTAGGTAGGTGCCCTGTCACCTGGCATCGTAGACAATGTCAGCGCCATCACTGGCAGTATAGTAACCAAATTATTTTAACGATGCCGTGGAGACGGACGTGCCGATGTAGCGTCTCTGTGGAAATGGTGACCCCGTGTGGGTACTGAAGACGGTGGCGCTTGCCGTACCGATTGTGTGTCCCTGCCGTCCAGCGACCGTGTCATCGTCCATTGTCAGTGACAGTAACTTGCGATGCGTCTTCGTGGTTTATTGTTCGTATGTTTCGTCCTATTTTTATCCATCATATTTTTGATCGAGTTTTTGATGGGACTTTTTTAATCACGTCAATCATTGAATGTGGCATCAAGGTAGGTATGATCCAATTCCGTTCATGGAGATGAGATTTCAATGCAGAGACCGTGGTGGTCCTGTCGCGGTGAGCCGAGTGGCTTGTTGGCTCTGTCGTAATACATCATATCATGCGTGTCTCTGCTTCTTTTTCTGATCATGTCCAACCATTGCACATCTACATATGTTAGGAAAATGCAACGACACACAATTTCAAGCTTGTGTGCATTGAGCGTATTTTGGATGCTTGCGTCAATGTATTTATATCCCGTATTTGACTGAGCCTCCAGCCGAACGCCATTGGGTAGGGGGGGGGGGGCTAACGACCCCATCAGGTAGGTATCCTGAAAATTGGAATTTGAGCTCAAGTGACCTGTCAAGGTCAGGTCAAAGGTCAAAATTGACCGTATTCACAGTTAGGCCTTGATATCATACAAATGAGTTGCCAAGGTCAAGGTCAGGTTAAAAAGGTCACCAATTTTAAAAGTAATGTAAACGGCATTTGACAGATGTTTTCTGGGCAGTTTTTACCATAAACTCAATAAGAGTATCGCCCGTGCCATTTTAAACTAATGTTAGCAATTTAAGGTGTTAAGTTCAGGTCAGGGCCGTGTTAAAAAGAATAAATTTTGAAGTTGCACAATTTCAACCAAAAAAAAATGTGACAGATTCAGATTAATCTCACCAATCCAACGGTATCACTCGCTTCTTTGTAAGATGCTTACAAAAAGTCGGAAACTGATTTCAAAATGATAACATTATTGGACACAATGTTGACTGTTGAGTAAAATATTCGTTTAAGGGGTGAAATTTTGAGATTTTGTGCTGAAGTTTGGCTCTGCGGTCGGTCTCACGTAGTACTGTCGTATACATTTTTCCCAAATTTGAAAAACAAGCTTTTGTGAAAATTTTCAAAAAATCCTGTGGCAGAATCTTGGGAAACTTTTTGATAGCTTTTGGGTCCAAAACTAAGCATTTCGAAAATTCGAGATAGCTGTTTTGTAGTAGGTTATTATTGACGCCTTCGGTTGTTACTTGTTTTTAATTGCCATTCTATGCTAAAACGTCTTGTATGAGTTTATACTTTATAAGATAGATATGCCACTTTTCGGACGAAACTGGTGTGTAGTGACAACACAAAATCGGTCATAACTCAAAACGTATTCGATTTAGTCAAACAACACTTCTACAGACGATGTAAGATTGATACAGGAGAAGGTATAGCCAATGTCAGGCTGCTCGCCTGGTAACTTCTTGAGTTATCGCGAGAAGTCGTCCGTGGGCCGTTAAACGCCCGCCCCCCTCCCCAGTAAATGGTGAGCTAAAAATACGAAACACACCGCATTCGTGGTGTATGGGCGACACAGATATATTTCGCAAACAGAGCTGTGACTGCCGTTATTTCTCACTGCAATCCCCAATTGCCAGATAGGTACGATACATACAATACACGCTTTATGAGACACACACGTAGGTAGGTACCTTCTACTACACCTTTTTGCGTTGTTCGATGGCCAATCAAGCAAAACCCAACCCGTCCGATCAGCACATAGGTGGCGCCAGTGAGAGGCATTCTGGCGAAACCTTCAGCATATGGGCAAAACGGAATGCTAATCCCACTCCACAGTTCGTCAGGTATTTTGATAGGCTCTCGCATGCGATTTCCTGACTGCGGAAATAGTCTGTTTCAGGCATTACCCAAGTGTCTGCATTTTTCTAAAAAATCCCTTAAAGTGACCATCCCACCTTAACCCGGCAGTTGCTGGGGTATTTCGCCACCCACCGTTTGCTGGGGGGGGGGCGTTAAACGCCCCCAGCCGATAACTCGAGAACCAATAGGCGCAGCGAAACGCACGAGGCGGCAAACGAAAGAACGCGACGAGACGCTTCAGATGAGTACTTTAAAGTTGAATTTTGAGGTCACAGGTCAGGTCAAGGTCAGGTCAAACACCTGAAATCGGGCTTTCAGTAGCATGGACTTCAGGACTTCGTAATGGGCGCCTCTCGTCATAAACTCTGTCAAAACGGTGCGCAATCCATCATATAAGGCCTACAAGAGTGTCAGCTCCATATAGGGGTCAGTCAAGCATAGGTCAGGGTCAAGGTCAGGTCAACCGGGCAGGCACATATCCCCGAAAATCAAAACTGATATTCGCAGCCTGTGACACATGTTTTATGGGTAATTTGGGGCGTAGAACACGATGGTGACATTCATTTTACCATATGTGTACGTGTTTGGCTAAAAAAGTTCAATTTAAGAAATGCATGTATCATGGTCGTGAAGTAGTCACGAGAAATTGCCAAGATTCAGTTCAAGATTTTGGAAAATGCGGAACGATAATCAACAATCGAAGATAGCCATTTGATTGTTCATGGTATTGGCAGTCTAATGGCGTTTACGGCATGTCTGTATGTCTATTCTGTGATTTTATATGATTTTTTGAACATATGCCGTTTTTGGTCGAAAACTCAGAAATCATGACGTCACTAAAACCTCGATATCTCAAAAATTTTCTGACCGATTTTTTTGAAACTTTGTCACAATAAACTTCAATCAATTCCCTACAGTTACCTAAGCGCCGTTTTTATGCTATGGCCCGGCGAAAAAAGTGGGGGCGTTTAACGCCCCCCCCCCCCCAGCAACTCGCGGGTTAACATTAGTTTTGAGTTGAGATAGCCAAAGTGGTGGCCATGGCCTGAAAATACCGGTTTGGGCACTCACAACATCGAAAAATGCTTCAATTCGGAGATATGGAATTTCAAACTTGCAGTTTTCGGATTCTAAGGGGCTAATGCATTGGTATGCCCCCTTAGAATTTGTGACGTCAGCGGAGATCTCAAGATTTTTAAATCTTTTACTAAAACGTTCGGCAGCACGCGGTGGTATATGCTGCTTTGCGCGCAGCAAATGCCGCACTTTCAAATAAAGTCGCTAGGAACAGCGGAGATCCCAAAAAGTAAACAAAAGTAAAAGTCTAATATCTTGAAAACCGGTGAATATTTTTCGATGAAATTTGGTAGATATTCGTTTTCGCTCTTTCTGAACCGAGCGACATCACTTTCATGTCAATTCATTAACTTTTTTGAAGGTGGGAGGGTCCCTTTAATATGTCAGCAGGAAAAAAAATCGCTCGAGCAGGAGCACGTAATGCTTGGATGAGTCCTTATTATGGTAAAAAAAAATACTTCTTCAGGACTAATAACTGTCAAATAAGATAAGTGTTCTTCTGCCCATTATGCTAGAAAGGTATAAAAGGTATTCACGATACCTACGTAAAATTAGGAATTTCTCGCAAATCACCTAAACCAATGCGGTGCACTGCCCATACCTGCACTTCTGTTGTCGTCACGCTGCCAAAAGCCAGTCAGCTGTCGCCCTAGACCTTTTTATACTTCCGATATCGGGGTGGGCGGTGTTCCCCAAGGGGCGGTGTTCCCCATCTTCCCCTATCACAATCTGACAAAGTGTTTTGCCTATGACGAACATTGTGCCCAATGACAAAGAGTCATGAATGGTTAAATGGAGTCCAGCCGGTTTTGCCGACCGTCAAACAGTGATGCACATCGCCGATGGGTTATGCTGAATGACGCTTGTTCAAACTGATGCCGAAATAGTTATGGCGATTGGCCATCGCACAACGCAAAAAGATGTAGTTGGTACATTCGGTGGCAGATTGATGTTCTACAACTCTTTATCCACCGGGTTCCTATGGCTCAGCATTGGCAGCAGCCGCCTGGTACCGGTAGACTGTGCCGCTTCACTCACTTGTCAAGCGGCACAGCCTACCCACACCGTATGACACCGGTCTGGGTCGGTGGCTGGAAGGCGATGTGGGCCGCCTGTGACGTCAGCGCAGCGGTGAGGGCCGAGCCCGGAGGCATGGCTCGGGTCGGCGCGGCGCGGCGGCTGACGAGGGCTAGGGAGTGAGGCGGGTTGGAAGCATGGACCATCGCGCGGCTGGGCGAGCGTAGTTAAAGGTAGTGTGCCACCTTCCAATGATTTCCCATATTATTTTTTCTAGGATAAGAAGCTTCTGTTTTTACCTAATATCGCAAAAAAAAATCAAAAAAGGGCCTAAAATAGTGCTTTTTTCGCCTAAAAGTTTATCGGTTTTTCGATATGTATAACAACTGTAGTGGGCTGACCTGCAAACAGGCGTCGGCAACAATCGCGAATGCGGCGCACATGTGACAATAAGCAAAGGTCATTATAGAGTTACGACGTACGGGAATGAGTTATCAGCTGTCTAATCGTAGACAACACAATGTCGAATTTAAACTGTAAGCCTGTATTGGTATTGTTTCTTTAATTTGGCTGTCGAACATTAATTTATGGTTTGAAATATTATTTTATGTAAAATAATTTATATGAAACAGCCGTCTCCAAAGTTATGACCCCATCTCACCACATGAAAGTGGCAGAAATGACAATGATCAGCTGACGCATTTTTCTTGGCCGAAGTCAGAGCGCGCGGCCCGACGCACCACCACCGCACCACAAAGTATGAGCAGAAGCCACCTGCGGTAGACCGCGCCCAAAGCCAGGGCCCCGGTAACGTGAAGTAGCCGAGTCGGGGCAGCGTGCGCTGACCCAAGCCGGGGCCGCGGCTTTGGGCGCGGTCTACCGCATCCCCGGGCAGCCCCGGGCTATCACATGACACCGGGAGGACGCGCGGCCCCGGCTTGGGTCAGCGCACGCTGCCCCGACTCGGCTATTTCACGTTACCGGGGCCCTGGCTTTGGGCGCGGTCTACCGCACCACCTAACAGGCGTGTTCGAAACCGCAGGAGATGATGATGAACGGGTTTATCGAAACTTGATTGGATGAGCTTATCGGTAAAAGCGATTTCAGTGTGTGCATTTATTGTTCATAGTGGTGTGAAATGTGGTTGGGGTACGACCGACAACCCGTCGGGGCGAATTTCGCACTGGGGTACTCAAAATTTGAAGAATTTAAGACGTTTCCATGAGTTTTGAAGGTATGGATAAGTTCTAAAAATCCGGTTCTCCTTATCTGGGCCATTAACTCCATACGGTCCAGGAAAGCTGGCACACTACCTTTAACTTTCGCGTCTCCATTCGCAGATTATTCTACCTATCAATTGCGCTTAAGCATTTATTCAAATGTCATACGCCCAAGACAGCGGCTATCATTTGCTTGCAATGCGTATTACGACGCACTTAAGCGTGGCAATGGGACAGCCGATAGAACTTATGTCACACGTGCATGAGAGGATTGGTGTCTATTGTTTCGCATGGCAATCGTCCGGAGGCGTGGGAACCGGGGATTATGGCCTATGGTTAGTGCGGCAGCCAACGCTTCAATTTAAAGCGATTATTACTGTTGCTCTTGCTCTAATACGTGGTCGCAGCCACAATGGCACACCGTTGCAACTAGGAGCCGAAAAGTCGGGCACTCAGGAGGGTTCGAACCGGGCTTCCCCCACCGGTCAGTCCACGACACGAGCGTTCATCAACTGAGCTACCGAGGATGGTAGCTCAGAGTGTAATCGCCAAGCCGATTGTGGATTGCTCTTGATCGTCAATACATACATACATACATACATGGTCCTCATCTGCACAAAACAAAACTTGACATTGACCCGCTGACCGCCAATGACAGTTTTGTGAGATTTGATCGCGTTTGACCGCGGCGGGTGGTCGCTTCTCGGTAGCTCAGTGGATACACGCTTGCGTCGTAGGGTGACCGGTTGGAGAAGCCCGGTTCGAACCGTCCCAGGTGCGCGGCTTATTTGTTCCTAGTTGGAACGGTTCGGTATTGGTGGCTGCGATCACACATTAGAGGAACAGTAAGATTTGCTTAAAGTTGGGGCGTTGGCTGCCTCGCTATCCAAAAACCCCAGTTCCCACGTCTCTGGACGATTGCTGTGCGAAATAACAGACACCAATGAGCTCAATCAAGGCCTTAATACTTATATGTTACTAACAATGTAGCTCTGCAACTCCTTGCACGTGTGATATAAATTATGTGATATATGATAGGTTGTCCCGGCCAGCTCCCAATGCCACGTTAAAGTGTGTCGTAATGCGCATGGCAAGCATGATGATAGGCGCTGTCTTTGGCATAGGGCATTTTAACAAATGCTTTAGCGCAATTGTTAGGTAGAATAATTGGCGCCTGGAGACGCGAAAGTTAACTACACTCGCCCAGCCGCGCGATGGTCCGTGCTTCCACCCCACCTCACTCCCCAGCCCTCGCCAGCCGCCGCGCCGCGCCGATCCGAGCCATGCCTCCGGGCTCGGCCCTCACCGCTGCGCTGACGTCACAGGCGGCCCACATCGCCTTCCAGCCACCGACCCAGACCGGTGTCATACGGTGTGGGTAGGCTGTGCCGCTTGACAAGTAAGTGAAGCGGCACAGTCTACCGGTACCAGGCGGCTGCTGCCAATGCTGAGCCATAGGAACCCGGTGGATAAAGAGTTGTAGAACATCAATCTGCCCCCCCCCCCCCCCCCCGAGTGTACTACCTACCTTTGTGCCGCTTACCGCGGCAGCACTGCCAGCACCACAGACCCAAATAGTTAACGCATCATTGGCTATAGAACAAAGCAAGCTCCCTCAGTCACTCCCCCGTTACGGGCTCCGCCATATATGCCTGTTCGCATTAGGTCAGCAGCTTTTCGCAGACAAAGTACCTGGGCAGCCGGCAGTTCTGAGCCGCCAGGTGGCCGGCGGTGCGGAACATGATGAGCACCACGCAGGTAGCGCCTCTGGCGGCTGATCCTTGAACCTTCACCTGCACACGCTGACCGCCAGAGCTCCAGTAGAAGTCGTTGGCGGTTTTTCGGTAGCCGGCGCCCACCCAGAGCGGACGGTCTGAGGGCAGCGGCGGTGTTATAGAGGTCAATGGCAGCGGCGCAAAACGGACTGCTCAGGCGCGCCGCTCACTGAGATCCAGCCACGGCTGGGATCCATTAGCAGTGACACAACACTGAGGTTCAGGCACTGCTGGGATCCATTAGTGGTTACGCAAGACTCAGGTTCAGGCACTGCTGGGATCAATTCGTCGTTAACCCGCGCCCCAGTGGCGGTCCCAGCCAATTCGCCCTAGTGGGGGGGGGGGGGGTATATGTTACCACCCACCTCTAACTCAAAAACTAAGAGGGCTAGAAAGACGCAGTAAAAAGCTGTCGATAGCTCTTAATGCGTACCAGTGTTCGCCACGGGCCCCAAAATCCCCAGCCCAGCCCGGCCCGGGCCCATGGGTTCAGAGCCCGGCCCAGCCCGTAGCCCGCTCTTGGCAAAATGTCCAAGCCCAGCCCGGCCCGGCCCGTCAAAAATAGCAATCTAGTTATTGTCTTAGTCTATTGCTATAATAAGCATGATTGATTACACTATTTTGAGAACAATTCAAATTGCATGAATATTAACATGACAATCATGACTCCCTTCTTTTCAATGAATATAATCATTTCAAGTACCTATGGCACAAATTTTAACAGTAACAGCAAGCACCTCAGTCAATTAGGTCATGATTACACACCTATAAAAAGTTAACATGATTATATTAACCCGCGCCGGGCCGGGGGGGTGTTTGAACACCCCCCCCTGCGGTTTTTCGCAGATATCTCAAAAACGGCGGCGCGGAGCGCCGCCGTTTTTGGCACACCTGTTTGTGCATCTTTTCCGCACATGTTGTGAAAATTTCAGACCCAGGTCGCCTTAGGTCAGGTCACCAGGTCACGCCAAGTGACCTCACCTCAGAAAAATAGGAATGCTCGTCATAGCTACACCGATTGATCGATTGCCTTGCAACTTTCAGCAATTGATAAGAGCAACTATATCTACAAAATGTATATCTCGGAATTTTGATATCGGTGACCTAAGGTCAGGTCAATTTTGCGGCCTCTCCATTATAAGTCAATGGGAGAAAATTGAAAAGCGTCTGTTTTGCACGAACGCTATTCTAGACTCTCTCAAACATCGAGATATAGGTACAATTGACACACTGAACCGGAAAATGGCAACTGTGACCCCTCGTTATGTCCCCGAGGTCATCTCAGGTCACGAACAGAATCTATCAGTTTTTCGCTAATAACTTCTGATAGAGGCGTGCTAGAGCGCTGAAAACGCCTTAGATGTGTTCGGCTCGACGTTGCGGATCGACTGATATGCAACACGACCTTTTCCGGTCAGGTCATGACCTTGACCTGAGGTCAAATTTTCAAGCTGACCTTTCAAGGTCAAATTATGGTTCATTCGACGCGTCTCGACGAGAGGAACACGATGCTGGCAAAAGTAATGTCATGGCTCTTTTGAGTCAAAAGTTATTGCCAAAAAACCACTTTTCGTAAAAACGGCTATTTTTGGAGTTTTTGCCCTCTGGAGGCTAAACCGTTGACCTGAGGTCAAATCTGAGAACATTACTCAGAAAGGTCTGTAAAAGGGCTATCGAATGCGCTTTTCCGCGGCGCTGTAGCTCTATCGGTTCCCGAGATAGCCGTTGGCAGTTTCCAAAATGTTGAAATAGTCAACATTTTACCTTTGGTGACCTCTGGTGACCTGACCTTTGACCTGACCAAAAAAATGACCGAAGTGTTTTCGTCCTTATTTTAGACGTTCTTTCGATTGCCGCTTACCGCGTGTCGCTACGTGGCCCAGGAGCCGAGTTAGACGGGGGGGTGTTCAGACACCCCCCCCCCCGGCCCGGCGCGGAATCTCAGAGCACCGGCCCGGCGCGGGTTAACCACATTCTATGAGTAAAGTTATCTTGCAAGCTGATGTGTGTGAACATTATCATGCATAATTGGTGACTCTAATGCATACTTGAAGGAAGTATTTGCAACTTACTCTATACTTCCCAGCACTTACCAGCAGAAAAAAAGTTTGACTTATTGGAATTGATGAATCTGTCTCATGTCTGGGATTGACCTTGCTGTTAAATTCACTCCATTGATGCTGCAATATCAAAAGCCTGAGAAAGCATACAGAATAGGTGACACTAGCTTTAGCACTGTCTTCCACAAAAGAGAAAATCCATCCATTTATCAGCAAAACTGATTTAATCTATTTTCAATTCATGCCCACGTGTCAACCGAATCTCTGTGGACAACTATCTGCTGCTTTCCTTGCTATTTTATGTTAGGCTCTTTTCAAGATATGGATATCGCCAGCAGCGTAAGCAGAAAACATGGTAAGTTTGAAATGTCATTTGGTACTTTTGCGACTTTTACGCATCATCATCATCAATTGAAAATGAGCGAACACTTCTTGATTGTCGCAGCTGCGGCAGGTAGCAATTTTGACCAATTGTATAATAAAACATATATAATCAAGTTCTTATTTTGTTTTTCGTTCGAGTTTTCAGACTTCGTGATCTTGGTTTTATTTTCTATTTGTTTCATTTTGTTTTTCAGCTTGATACTAACTTAAAAAACGTATTTATTTGATATACTGTTGTGTATACGAGTAGTAAAGTAATCTTGGTGTATATTACCACCTATAGATGCCGCCACATAATGATCGCAAATTTTGTTGAGAAGGGGCCGGGTTGTTGTTGTTGTGATTTATTTTGACAAATTTATGGACATTTAAGGAAGCTTTCATCGCGAAATACTCTGTAGAATTTAACGTTACTTACAGTGTGTTTCGTGAGTATCCTTTTAAGGTTCTGTTCGTTAAAAAGCCGTCGGTGAAGGAAAAAAGCCTGTGTTGGAATTGTCTCACTATCGCCATATATAAGTGTTAAACTTAATGTAGCCCTGTAGCCCATCATTGTTGAGTGGCTTCTTAGTTTTTGGAGTTGTAGTGCTAAGTAAGTTATTCTGATAACTACATTTTAACTTTTATTAACAAACTAATGATGCTAGAGATTCTCTGATCTTTTTGGTTTCGGAATTTTTATGAAAACCCTCCTATGTGTGACATGATGTGATATTGGATAATTCTCAAGATTCCCAAAATTCAATATGAAGTAGGTTTTCTTTCACATTGCTTAAATTTGGTTTAGTTTTAGTATTTTCCCAGTGGGTTTTGTTTGCATCAGTTTCCAAATTTTCTTAAATTGACATTAGTCGCAAAACCCATAGTCCACAAAGCTCTTGGCCCGGCCCGTCCATAGCCCGTTAATTAATGATATTTGGGGGCCCGGCCCAGCCCGTAGCCCAGCCCGGCCCATGGCCCGTTGGGCTGGCCCGGCCCGTGGCGAACACTGATGCGTACGTTTGAACTTTGAAAGTACAGGGATGTTCACGAAAAACTGACACATTTTTAAACGACTTTGTGAACAAGTGAGAGCTCATAGAGACTTGATTTGTATGCCATTCGAAAGCCTAATGAAAAAGTTTTGTATGTGCATAACTCCTTTAGGTAGCATACCAGGAGTTTTCAAACAAATAAGAAAACGTTAAAATAGGGAAATTTGACGACGACGAAATTTAGCGGAAAAACAATGAAGCTTTCGCGGCGACGGTCTGCCACCAAGACTGAGCCAGTTCACGAATTCGTCTAAAATTTGGCAGATTAATTTTTCGATGGATTATTTTTATACTATTAAGGCATACTGTGGGCAAATTTCTAAGGAACGCCAAGATTGGTGGGTATGGAAGTGCTGTTGTCATAAATCATAGTCACAGGCTGACAGGGCTGCAGAGTGTTACCGCGCCATCTTTTAACGGCTCCCGTTAGCTGCTGAAGCGGAAATGCGCCGACACCTACACCATTCGGTGGTTCTGGCACACGTCCTGGCCACCCCACGTTCAGTAACCGCGATCATCGGTCTCATACGAGAACAGGGGGAGCGGGCATTATCTAGCGCATCACCTCTTACCCATAGCCGGCCATTTCTCTCTACCTCAACACCGTGGTCTTTTCCTGTGAGGTCACGTGAGTGACATGGTCTGTATCAGCGGCCCAAAGGACTTCAAAACTCCTGACGAGTACGGTGGGAGGTGTCGCAATTCTCCCGGCGCGTGCCTGTAAACGGGGAATAATTTCCTGTTTCGGGCTGAGTCGTGCACTGTTCCAAACACTCGTCATCTGCAAAATGCGCTGTAACTTCTTAGAAACGACAATGATAAGTTCCAAAAATATAACTTCAATAAAACTTAGAAGTCCACTCTATTTGCCCATACCATGATCACCGTGCTGAGGGCAAGTGTTCTCTCGTTATTCGGAAATAAAATGTGTCAGTTTTTTTGTGAACATCCCTGTATTTCGGTCATTTTTTATCTTAGAGCAATATTGGGGTCACTGGAGGTCATCAAAGGTCAAAATTTGCCAAATGTCATTATATTTTTCAGAAAACATGCACTTATCTCAGGAACTATGATACGTAGAAAAACGCATGGAAAGCAATCTAAGGCTTTTGAACTCTTCTTTCGATAAGGTTATCATCAAAATTGACCTCAGGTCAACGGTTTAGCCTCCAGAGGGCAAAAACTCCAAAAATGGCTGTTTTTACGAAAAGAGTTTTTCGACAATAACTTTTCACTAAAAAAAAACACGACATTTCTATTTCCAGAATCGTGTTCCTCTCTCCGAGACGCGCCGAATGAACTATAATTTGACCTTGAAAGGTCAAGTTGAAAATTTGACCTCAGGTCAAGGTCATGACCTGACCGGAAAAAGGTCATGTTGCATATCAGTCGATGCGTCTCGGCAAGACAAACACAATGAGACCATCCCCAGTGCTCTATCTCTTTCCAATCGAGAGTTATTGGCAAAAATATGTTTGTAGCCCCAAATGACCTCGGATGACCTTTCTAGAGGCTATCAGCAAAAAGACACCTTGGTCGTCACGGGTGGTCCAAATCATTGTGATTCTGAAATATTTGGACTGTTCCTATGCGTACACACGGATTTAGAGGCATTTTCAT